AAATCCTGCATAAAACCCACATGGGTAAGTTGCACGGGGCCAACGTGGAACCCGTAGACAAACCCACTTATAACCCATATTTAGATGGGACCCAGATGGGTTTTGCATATCATCCCCAGTTGGGCCCCACCTAAAGCCCAGGGAAATCCTGCATAAAACCTACATGGGTATGTTGCACGGGGCCAACATGGAACCCGTGGACAAACCCACTTACAACCCATATTTCAGCCCATGTAGTAACCTTGTAGTACCCACATAAAAAATAAAGCTGGGGCCAAGATGGGTCTTGCGCATGCTGCCCAGTTGGGGCCCACCTGTTGTCAAGTACAATCCCACATGAAATCCATGTCCATTATGGAACCCGTGGACAATCCCATTTTGGGCCCACTTTTTCAGCCCATGTCAAACCCACATGGGCCCCACACACAAATGTTGGCTGGGGCACATGCATGTTACAAATGACTTTTTTTGAAATGCCAAGCAATAAACATCAAAATAGATAAAAATTCAACAACAAAAAAAATGTTACATCTAACTACAACTGCAAGCAAATAATAAAATAATTTCACCTTTTGGTCAGGCAAGGGACAATATTTGTCTGAACCAGAGCAGGAAAATAAAGAAGCAATAAGCAGTTGTTGTTCTCTGTGTTGTCCTCTCATTAGTTTTGGCAAGGCCTTCCCAACAGTGGCCGAGACACAGGAGTACCATTGACCTTGACGGCAATAGTCCCATGTTAAACACCAATGAGAGAGACGTTTCCAAGCTTGTCTACAGCTGTGGCCTGATCAAACAAAGGGGAAGTGGTCTAAAAATAAACTGAACACATTATGAGTGATCTGCAGGTAGCGAAGGCGGTGCTCTTTGTTTGTTCTTCACTGAAGGTGTGGATTTGTACGTCCTGCTGGGAGTTCAGAATGGGCTTCTGGTTGAAATAATGAAGATTTGTCCATTTTGACCTGCTGTTTGGAACACTTACATCTGGAAATTGCTCTCCGAGGCTGATCCTCAACCTTTTCCCTTTCAAATTGAAATTCTTGACATGACCCCTTTTGAGAAGGTAAGAATCTAGGAGATGTGCCAGCACACACACACACACACACACACACACACACACACACACAAAACTGCTTTGAGAATAAGACAATACTGCTCGTGTTCCAAGCCCTCCGCAGACAAGAAGAAAAAGTGGCAAATTCAAGCAACATTTAATTTGCACAATATAATCCACTTCTATTCCCTGCCAGCAGGATTTCTGCCAACTTTGCACATGAGAGCCATGAGGCTCTCTCTGGGCAGG